ATCTTATAGGCTTTATTCTTTTTTTAAGAGCTAGTTTCTCTTAACTTAAGCTCTTTATTAATTTATTTAAGGTCTTTCCTTAAAGTAGTAATAACTCTTTAGATCTTTATATTATATCCTTTATTTTATTTATATTAAATACTAGGTTATATAGCTATATTAGTTAGTATATAGGTCTTATTAGTCGATTTTATTATATCCGCCGGTTTAGTTACTATTTTTATTTATATTGCTAAAGCCTATAATAATTTACTTAAACGGTTATCACTTTCATCTTATTTAGTAGCTAAATTATTATAAAATTTTACTTTCTCTTAAATCTACTAGTCTTAGAAACTTATATCTTTATTCTAATATAGCTAGCTAGTTTTCTAGTTAATTAGTAGGTTACTCTCCTATAGCTATAGAAGTCTTAATATAAGGTCGTATTCTTTAATATCTATAATATTAAAGTTAACTTATTTATTATAGCCCTAGATATTAATATTAAGGTAATTAATCTCTATATTAATAATTCCGTTATTATAGTTAAAGGCCTCTCCTTTAATATTCGTAAGTTTATATAAATCTTTCTTATATCTCTATATAAGTCGGTAATAATTAATAACTTTAGGTAAAACGTAATTACCTATCGCGCTATAGTTTAAAAGTATATATACGTAATATCCTACGATTTAAATATTTAATACTATTTAGTCGCTATAGCTTACTATTACTATATATAAGGTCCTTAGATCTTATTATATCGTGCTAGTCTATAGCCCTTTTATAGATAGTATACCTTGTTTTTTACTTAGTCCTTATTTATTTTATTTAGGTATTCTTCTTTAATTTATTATTAATATTATTTCTTTATATTTTCGTTATATAGTATTATATCGGGGCTTAGGAGACTAATTTCTTATAGCTAATTAAAGATTTCTTATTTCTTAATACTATATCGTTTATATTATACTACTTTATAGTTAATTATATACTATACTTTATAATTCTATTTATTTTCGTACTAAAGGTTAAGTTTTTATTTAGCGTCTTTCTATTTTTTATATAGTACTTTTATATCGATTCTTCCTTAGTTAAATATAGCTTATAGCCTTTATATATATTACTAATAATCTTTTAATATACTATTATATTATTTATACTATACTTATACTTTTTTATATTTATAAACTCTATAGTTTAAGTATACGTATTTATTATAATCTTCTTTATTATATTTTATTTATTATATAAGTCTTTAAAAGATTAATAGTTTAGATACCTTAAAGCGAGTAGCGTTATACTATTCCTTTATTTTAGCGTATTTATAGATTTTATATATCTTTAAAAGATATCTCGTTAATAAACTATAATTATCGTAGTATTTAAGTAGCGTACTATAATTAGGTTCTAATAATATAACTTAGTCGTTTAAGTAGCGTTAATTAATTTTCTAGTAGTTTAGTTCTATATTTAAGTAAGGTTTCGAAAGTACTTATCCTTTAAACCTAACTAAGAAGGCGTTATATTATATCTTTATCTAAAAGTATATTATATAATCTAGGTAAACGTATAATATCTATAAGATATACTTATAGTACTTATAAGTAAGTAGTATTTATAAATTATCTTTAAATTCTCCTTATAGTTACTATTCTTATTATAGAGCTATAAGGGTATCGACTATAGTAATAGCTATAGTATAGTCTCCTTTATATAATACCGGTTAATATCGAATTAATATAGCTTATTAGTTTTCTATAAGAATTTAAGGTATTTATTAGGTTCTAATTTTAAGTATTTCTTTAAATTCTTTAAAGTATAAAGCGTGTTCTCTAATCGTAGTATTTTCCCTTAGTAGCAAGGGTAGTAGTATAAGTTCGTTCTTATCTTTTATTTCTCTAGGTATTTCTTATTCTTTAAAGCTTATATCGTCGATACTTCGTTATTCCTCTTTAAGTTATTATCTAAGTTTTATAAGTATAAGGGCTATATTTATATCTTCTTTATTATATTATTTATAGACTACCTATTATTATTATCGATTTTTATTTTATATATCCTCTTAGAATCGTTTACTATTCTTCTTAATCTAGTCTTAAGAGACTCCTTTAAGATAGGGGTATTTTAATTTTATAAACTTAACTTATTTTTATATTTTAGGATCCCTTTATTATATTATTATAAGGGTCTTCTTTAATAGCTTTAAGAACTATTTAATATTATTCTTATCGCTTAAGTATATTATATATTTATCGTTATAGTATATAGTCTAACTAAGGAGTTTATACTTTAGTTCCTATCTATTAATATCGTTTAAGTATTTCTTACCTTCTAAGGCTAGTACTTAGTAAGTTTTCTTCTCCTTATAAGGTTATCTATATTCTTTAAAGTAATATCTAAGTTTCCTATAGTTAAAATACTTTCTTTTACTTTTCTATATTATATCTAAATCTATCTTACTTAGGTTAGTTATATAGGTATAAGTAATAGGAGTTTCGCGCTTTTTTTTATAGTTAGCGCGTTAATTAAAGTTATTTTTATAAAAAGGGTTCTAGTTTCCTCTTCCTTATTTCTTTTCTTAGTATTACGTATACTACTTATCGTCGATTTATACTACTATAGTAATATAGTCTAAGAGGTTATTAGGTCGATTTTCCTTATAGAGCTCGTCCTTAACTTCTTCTTTAAGCCTATTATAGAATCGTAATATAAAAGGTTTATTATCCTAATTAAGCTTTAAGGTAACTTAATAGAACTTTATAGTATAATCTAATACTAAGATCCTTTATTAAAGTTCTTAAAGTTTCTATTTAGCTTCTTATTCCTCGTTAGTTATTCTAAATACCTTTATAATAGCTTCTTTAAATCCTTAGAAACTAATAAAGACTTTATCTATCTTATTATCTTATCGCGCTAGTTAGTTATTAAGAAAATCCCTTATAATAGGTCTAAACTAAGCGAGTACCGTTCTAGATAAATAATTTCCTATATAAAGTACCTTTTTAACTAGGTCTAAGAGTTTAATAAGGTAAAACCGATAGTAGGCCTTAAGTTAAGTAAGAAAGTCTCGAAGTATACTATAAGTACTATTAAATAGTCCTAGCTATTTTAGTTTAATTACTTTTCTAAGGTCCCTAACTTATTTATTACCTCTTTTATTCCTAAGTAACTATACCTTATATCGAAGGGTAATAATCTCGCGTATTATATCCTAAGGCGATATAGTAGCTCTAGAGTTAGTTAATCTAGCTTACTATATAAGTATATTAATAGTTACGATATTACTTAAAGTAACGTAGTATTATACTAAATAAGAGCTTTTAACGTATAACGACTAGTATTATTCTTAAGGGATAAACCTATCGAGGGGTTTATATTAATAGATATAATAGGGCGTAGTCTAAGTAATAATAAGTATATTATATTAGTAATAAGTTAAAGGTTATAGACTATAGACTATAACTAAGTAATTAGAATTAAAGATAGAATCGTAATAAAGATCTATATTAAAAGCTAAAGAGCTATCTATCTAAAGGAGTAAAAGTAGGTAGCTATATATACCTATAGAGACTATCCTTAGATTATAGTCCTAGCCGTAATCCCCTTTATAGCTTACTATAGCTTACTTATAAGCTATACTCCTAAGTAGTAATCTATCTATATAAGGCTTACTTAGCTTATATACGCTCTAGGTAAGCTAAGCCTAAGTAACTTCTCGTCCTAACTATTATTCCGAGCCGCCTTATTATATAAACGTAGCTGGCTCTCCTATAGCCCGCTAACCGTAGTCGTAATATATATCTATAGTTAGCTTTATATTACTTAATACCTATCTCTACCTCTCTTACCTATAGCGAGAGTATCGCTTACTCTATTATTAGCTAGGTATCTAGCCCTCCTATTACTGCTCCCTACTATCCTTAGGCCTATTCTCCCTCCTCTAGGTTATCGGGATATCTATATTATATCCTTTTAGTCTAATCTCTCTCTAGGCTTTATAGCCTTATCTAAAAAGAGCTTTATATATATTAAGGGCCGGTATATACTTCGTATAGTAGTATAGGGCTAAATAATTATTTATCTAAAGCTAAGGAGAAAGAAGGAAAACTCTATCTTAGTCGCGACGGTTATCTATCTTCCTTAGTCCCTAGCTCGACCTATATTCGGGTGCTATTCGGCCTAAGTTCGGGTCGAGCTCTGCCTATACGTAGGTCTACTTCGGCCCGACTTCGGTGCGGTCGCTATAGTATAACCTTAGCCTTCTACGGGCGTAGCCCGTAATAATTATATAAAAGCCGTTAATAAAGTAGCGCTACGCCGTACTAAAGGGAGGGTATTATATAAGAGTTTTTAACTATTATAGGTTATAGGCTTAGGCTATAGCTTAAGCTATATAGTTATATATAAAGGGCCGGATCCTATATATATATATATAGGCTAGCCGCGTATAAAAGAGCTCTATATAGCTTATTAATATTATCTTATAGACGGTACCTATATATATACCTCTACTTACTCTATAATAAAGAGCTCTTAAAGATATAAAGCTACTATAAAAAGGAAGCTATATATATAGGCCCCCCTTAGCTAAGGGGTCTAGTCTTATAGCCTATATAGCTGACCCCTATAAATAAGGGCTAGGGCTGCGCCTAGGGTTTACGTAGTAAATTAGCTGCGCACCCCTAGCGTCGGTCCTGCCCTCTGTTTGCAATAAATAGGCGGGACGGGCTGGCTTTTATGCTATTATATAAATAGCAATACTCTATTAATAACTTAAGACACACCTCCGTTAAGATGGCTCCAGTCTTTATAGAGAGGCCGGGCCCCAATAGACTGCTCTCTCTTTCTGAGCCATGGCACTCCGAGCAGAGTACTAAGCTCAAAAGCAAACTAGCAGCAATAAGGGTTCGAGCAAAGACGCCATGCATCCAGTATGTTCATCTCGGTATCATCTTTTTGACACTATGTGTAATCAGTAATCCCTTTGACACACCCCGTTTCCAGCCATCACTTTTTCAGCTTGACTTGTGTCCTTCCACCTTGACCACCGGGCCCTCGTAAACGTGCCTTGCCTGACAAAAGTACAGGACTGCCGACAGGCTCATCAACCCGAGGAACAGCACGCACGCCCAATTAAAGTTCTCCGCCGTAATGTTGTGGCTGTTTGGCCAGAAGCTCCAGAAGAATGACCAGCAAGAGTACAGCAGGGCCAGGATGTTAATGCCAAGGCCGTAGCGGCCGAGGCTCCAGCGAGAGTACGGGAGCTGCTCTCCGCGAATGCGCTTCAGAGTAATGCACCCGATGGTAATTACATACGTGGCCATGAGCGCCACCGTCGACAGGGAAAGCATGGCATTAAAGGCAACGTTGGAGCCAATGTTGATGAGGGCGAGCGCCATGGAGAAGACGCAGGTGAAGAGAACCGCGTTGACAGGAACGTGCCATGTGGGATGGACCTGGCCCACGAGTTAGAGCCGGCTGCCGTGCCCATCAACATGGGGCAACTCACCGCCCCAAGCCAGTTGGAAAAGGGGAGTCCGTTGTCTCGGGCAAAGGCAAAGGTCTGGCGCGACGTGGAGGCGAGGGAGCTGATTGTAATCATGATGAGCAGTGCCAGCACCACAATTGTGAGGCCCGTCGCTGCCCGGACAGAGCCAGTGGCATTTAGAAAGACGTAGATGAACGGATAGCCCGTGGGAGAGGCCAGGGCCTCGGCAACGTCTCCGATGCAGAACAGATAAGTGAGCAGAAGACCGAACGAAAAGGGCAGGTTGATGAGAAAGGACCAGATCATGCTCTTGGGAACAATGATGCTGGCGTCCTTGATCTCCTCGGACATGTGCGCAACCGAATCAGAGCCTGTGCCAAGAGTCAGCCACCACACGAGCCCTCAGTCAAGGGCGCATACCGAGAACGACAAACATGCTCGAGACCTGGCCCACCATGACGGTCAAGGCAATCGAGGGCCATCCCGCCCCGTTATCCGTAAACTGCGTAAATACGGCACTTGCCGACTGCTTCGGGGCGAGCACCAGTAACGTGATGATGACGGGGAAGAAGGCGAAGATGTGGATCGTCACAAAGATTCCCTCGGCTAGCGGGAGATGCTTGGCGGCAAAGACGTTGAAAAGCGAGATGCCAATGACTGAGGCAAAGACGAGTAGCGTTCCTTGCCACCTTTCGGGAGTATACGAGACGTCATTGAGCGTAATGAGACCCTGGATGATGTTGCCGATGAGGAACGCATCGAGCGCGACGATGCTCTGCCAGGATACAGCCGACAACCAGCCTGAGGCTCAGTCAGAAGTCAATCGAGAAATGAACTATCTATACGCATGCGACATACCGGAAAGGTAGCTTAGGATCTTTTGGTATTGAGGCGGTGCAAACTCCGAGACCCAGTGGTACTGCCCCCCCGCCGTAGGAGCCATTGAGGCCATGTCGGCCAGCGAGAGGACGATGAAGAATTGGCCCGTGTAGGACCAGCATAGTGACCAGAACAGGCCCGACAGGCCACCGGCGGTGAGGCCTTGTGTATTGGATCTGCGTCGTCATGGGTGTGGTGAGCAAGTGCGTGTTGATAGTCAAACGACAAAGAGGCATAGTGACCACTCACGCAAGTAAGATCTCCCAAGTCCCCATAACACACGTCGTGAAGCCAATCGTCGAGATGAGACGAAAGTTTCTCTGGGGTGCCGTCAGTCAAGAGCTGGCGCGGCAAATGTGAGTACTGGTAGGTAGATGCGCACTCGGAATTCTTGCTTCTTGCCCATGCGCTGCATGTCGCGCCGGTCGTTGGCCGTGTAGCCGTCGCGGAGGTCTTCAGCCAAGTCTCCCGAGCCGCGGGGCGAGAGCTCCCATGCCGGGCCCGTCTCGACCTCGCCCGTTGAGTCTTGGGCGAGCTTCTCCGGCCGGTTCCGGCCCATGCTGGTCATCTCAAGGCCGTCGAAAGCCTTGGGGGCCGCCATATCGACACGGAGGAGCAGCCAAGTTGGCGAGGGAGAGAGAGACGACGAGCGGATGGGGAGGGAAATACAGGGCGACGCAACCTTAAACCAAAGCAGCCGTTTGAAGATTGTCCAGCAGCGAAGAGAGGGGATATTGTAATGTACATTGGAAATAGGGCCTTGAGCAAACTCTATCTAGCATGCAAAATGAGGCCAAGAGCCTGGGCCGGAGCGGGGCCATGAGAAGGAGCCCGAGGGAAAACCGGGGCTTGCATACATGCAGCGGGACCCTTGGCCGGCGCGATGAAACGCTGGCCGTTTGGTCTGCTTTTCTCGGTGAAGCTTAAATCCTGTTGCCCCAGCCCGGAGCTGGTTGCCGCGTTGAGTGGAAACTGACGATGCAAGCTCAGGAGCGTTTCAACCTTGGGTCGTGTCGTCGTCACATTACAGTCCCGACAATGATATACCCCATAGCGGCCCGCCAATTTGTATGCTTCCTCTCGTTTTCCTGTCCCCCTTGATTTCCCACCGAGCCGGGTTTCCTTTGACAGCGTGCCCCGACCGTCCTGGAGAGCCGGCCAGCCCACAGTGCTCCTCTAACGCCATGTCCTTCACTCCCATCTCGGCCGGCAACATGGTGGTCACCACCAGCGACCATGGAGCATACATTGTCATTGCCGCCGTCCTGGGCGTCACATGGTCCGTCCTCGTCTTGGCTATCAGGCTATACATCAGGCTCCATCTCAACGGCCCCTTTGGACCAGACGACGCGGCGGCCTCTTTCGGAACCGTAAGTATGTGCAAGCAGGCGTTTGGGGACGACAGTCACGTTGACTGACCGCTCATGATCCATCTGTCTCAGGTCGCCGGCATCTGTCAAACGTCTTTGACACTGACTGCGGTACACTACGGCCTGGGCAAGCGGCAAGAGTTGCTGTCCCCTGACCAGCTCGACACGGCCATGAAGGTGCCTCCATCCCCACGCGCCACGGTGCAAGTGTCGTCGTGCTGAACGGGACCCTCAGTACAACTACACAGCCAACCTCGTCTACATCATCGCCATATGCAGCGCAAAGTGCTCCATGTCCCTGCTCATGGCGCGCCTCACCCGCTACACGCACTCGCGCATCGCCAGCCACGCCATCAGCTGCCTCGCCATTGCGTGGGCCATCACGGCCCTCTTCGTCCTGGGCTTCCAATGCCCCGGGCCCCGACCGTGGAACACGCAGGACCTCTCGCGTTGTCCGTCCTTTGTACGACTCCTCGTCCGCCGTGCTCGCGGGCAAGCATGCTGACTCGTCCGCAGTTCACTCGATGGGTCGCCATCGAAGCCTTTAGCGTCCTCATCGAGGTTCTCATCTCCAGCATGGCCGTCGTCCTGGTCTGGAACCTCTCCATGGCCACCAAGACAAAGGTCATGGTCGTCTGCGCTTTTTCCGCTCAGCTCCTCATCGTCATCCCGATTGCCTTTCGCCTTGACTTTCTCCGCGCCCGCGTATCCGGGAGCGACGCGACATTCGACACGACCAACGCGGCCATCAGCACCCAGGTCGTTGTGCACCTCTCCATCATGGCCGCCACATTCCCCTGCTTCAGGCAGTTCTTGCAGGCCTTTGACAGTGGCCTCGGCGCCACGACCAAGATCCCGACAGAGCTCGGGACTGGCAGCCAGTCCCACAGTGGATACGTGCTGCAATCTCTAAGCGGAACATGTGACGAGGGACGGTCCGTCAACAAGCAACATGCACCTACAAAGCTACGGCCGGATCCCACGGCCGAAATCACCAGCGAGGCGACGGCCGACGGCCAAGATCCCTCTCCTAGCGAGACGCGGAGGAGCACCGACAGCTTTGGCAGCGACAAGGCCATCATATGGAAGACACAAAAGTGGGAAATCCGATACGAGTCACGCGAGTAAAGGGAGCCGTGCTGGACCGGCGAGAAGATCATGTAGCATACATACTGGGCTCGGTATTTCTCTCCGGCACTCCAAAATAACATAATAATAGGCCTTGGCTGCATCTAGGCTATCCGTACTCGAGTACCTATCCTATGGCTCCATTGATGGCTGGTCACCAAGTCGGGCAGCAAAAAAACTTGGCGCCTCGGCCCCGTTCGACCTAATGCCATGCACATCTCTCCAACCAGTTCTGCTCAGAAGCGGCCTTTTGGCTACCAGTTCCCGGCCGATTCTCTTGCGGCAGAATCCCGTTGGCTCGACTGACACAGCACTAAGTGCAAGCCACCTTGTGAACCGTCGCAACTTTTTGGACAAAGTCTGGACATTCGCTGGGCTCCATAGTGGACCAAGGCAGGCAGTTCTTTGCATCTCGTGTGGAGCCTGGACTGGCAGTCTGGATACCGAGAAAAAGCAAATGGCCGCAGCCTAGGTGGACCTTGACGAGAGTATATTGCGCTGAGGAGCATATGTATGGTAGTTGTAGAAGTAGAAGTTGATTGCCACCCCCGTGCCCCCCTCACACTTCAACTACGATTGAGATATATATTTGTACACACGTCTCATTGCTTCATCTTGATCCAGAGTCACAAAAGCCAGTCCGCACATCGTCAGCAAATTTGCGTTTGCAGGGGCACATTAGCACTCGGGCAACGTACTGGCTCTCGCTTTCCGAGGCTGGCGCTCTTATGGGAGGCATTTCCATGCATACAGTACATAAGTGAGAATCTATCGGCACGGCCGACCCGTTCAAATTAAAGTTTGTCTTTAGAGTTTCTGTCTCCGTGTAAGATGCGAGTCGATCTGTTGCACTCAACCGGCTTACCGGCTTTCCTTAACCCGTTGTAGTCTCTCGGCTGACTCTCGGCGAACATTGTCCCGTAGCCGGAGCACGTCTTGACTCAAACTGCCCGGTGCTGTTCTATACCGAGTTACGCGGGTTCCGCCCTCCCGATCCTTCTTCCCGTGTTTAGTAGCAGCAAGGCCCGGTGGTCCCACCGACTGATTAACTGAATCCCCAACACACCATCCTTGCATCCTGACGCTGTTGGTCAAGAGGGGCAAGGGGAGGGCGGGATATGCTGCACCAAGCAGAGAACGATATTACGTTTCGCTTTGCATGCTTTCAAGGAAGAGGTGGCCAATGCGAGTACGTCGTATGTACATACAGGCCGGATATTAGACAACTCTACAGATAACAGGGAGGTAAGTTAGAGCAAGGCACAGAGAGGGGCGTTTTTACGGAGTAGTAAGAACGAGGATCCCCTGTAAGCCGTCATGCGTGATTTGCAGGAGCTAGTTCTGATTCCGCCTAGCTGGGTGGATGATCCTTTATCTGTCGGCCACACAATTCCTGGGTTCATCCCTATTGTCCCCGTTTCAGGCGGGCCTGCGCGGCGACGCGGCCAAGGAACTCTGCTCAGGAGTAAAGACAGCACTATGAGGTATTTTGCAAAATTATCCGAGGCGACTCTTGAATCTTCCTGCAGTGTGGATAGATGCTGCAAACAAAAACAAGCGGCTCCCTCGAAAAAAAGGGCGAAAATCGTCGGGGAAGAGAAGGGGGGGGGTCCAATCGGGGAGCCATCATCAGGTATCGCCGACCCAGCCTCCGTCAACTACATAGCTGCCACCCGTGATTGCGCTGGCATCGTCTGAGGCGAGGAACAGCATCAACCTCGCCACCTCGACGGGCATCAGGACCCGCTTGAGCGCCTGCGCAGCCAAGCACTGGGCCCTGTACTCGTCGGTCAGCACCGTGTCGATCTGCCTCTGCGTGGCAATGGCGCCGGGCATGATGCTATTGACCCGGACGCCGCGTTGGCCAAACTCCCTGGCATGCGTGCGGGTGAGACCCACGACGGCGGCCTTGGCCGTGGTGTAGATGGGCAGGCCCGTCGCGGGAATCCGCCAAGTGATGGAGCCCATGTTGATGATGGAGCCTGCGCCCCGGCTCTGCATTGACGGTGCAATCGCCTGAGTCAGGAAGACTTGGTGCCTCAGGTTGACGTTGATGTCGGCCTCGAACGACTCGGGCGTCACTTGAGACGTTGGTACCCGCGACTCGGACCCGGCCGCCCCGGCGTTGTTGATGAGCACGTCGACGCGTCCAAATAGCTCCAGCGTGCTTTGGGCGCACTGCCTGAGCTGGTCGATGTTGGTTACGTCGCAGTACATAAAGGTCGGCTGCGTGGCGCCGTCGACGCGGGTCATCTTGTCGCACAGCTGTCCGGCCGGGCCGGCGGCGTAGTCGAGGAAGACGACGCTGGAGCCCTGTCTGCAGAAGAGCTCCACGGCTGAGGCGCCGATGCCCTCGGCGCCACCCGAGATCAAGACTGTCTTGCCACGGAGGCTTGGGTAGATGGCCGACTGATCCATGCCGGCCACGGGTAGACTCTGCCCGGGCCCTGTTTCTAGCTGCTGGTCAGGGGACATGGACCCTGTCATTCGTCCAGGGCCTTGATATGGTAAAAATAGAGGATGCCTTGAGTCTCAAGGTTGACGCTGCTCGTCTTCCCGTACACGTATCAGGAGATCGGCATTTAGTCACAAGAAAAACAGACAGCGAGGAGCAGGCCAAAAGGCGTAGATCCCAACCATCTTCCAAGGAACCGGGCCCATTCCAAGATCGATGCCCCCGCTCCCCCTCAATCCCGATTATCCGTGCCGGTGCAAAGAAACCTGGTACGCCGAACACGCAGCCATTCATCCGTCGCATGTGACGTGCCGCGCCCACTGACTAAAAGAGGGGGGAGAGCAGGTGACGGAGGGACAACTAGTTGACAACCAGTCGTAAGCAGTCAGTGAGAGTGAAAGAATGAAGGAGCCAAAGTCGGAAAATTCAGGGAGCTGCTTGCTCGTGCAGGGTGTTTCCTGGTGGCTGCCCAGCAACCGTCTGCCAGCCGAAAGGCCATTCATTGATGCCTCAGGCCGCCCCGCTCCGCTGCAACATCACAGGCGTCTCCACGATGGCCTCGAGGATTGTATTAGCTGCAGCACTGGTTCTCCACCAGTGCAAAGACGACCATTTCTCGGCACAACTAGCTTTAGTGTGTCCTCGTAGAAGTTTAGCTACTGATGCAGTGCCGTCTAAGTTCCTCAATCAAAATAATGCCCTGCCCACGTAGCGCTGGACATAGAACAGTCCCCTGACTCCCCTCCTGTAATTGTCTTCTTGCACAGCAACACCAGCTCCCCTGGCTGGAAGCTGGCCGTGGCTCTCAGTTCATGGCGAGCCTCTCAGGCCATTGCCTTTAAAGTAGCCTCTCCCTACTGGATCTCCTGGTCTTCCGACAACATCGCTATTCGAAGAATCACCAGATCTACATGCTGCGCTCCTAATGGGCATACACAAGATCACGTCGAAAGTGCGGCCATCTTGAACAGTCACGTCCAATAACCCTAACACTATCTGCAATGGTGCAAGCGGTTCCATGCTACGGAGTATAGAGAATCTAGGTAGGTAGGCGAGTATTCCACACATCTCAGCAATCGGTTGCTCATGGATCTCACGGTGGAAGGCATATGTTGCACCTAATCCCTACCTCTGGCTCTAGCACGCTTCACCACAGTCCAAGAGATGTGGTTCGTCACCTCGACCAGCAAGTCATAGCCATGGAGTAAAACTCTCACGGAGAACTGCTTGTCTTACGTCTAAATAACCGAGGGCGAGAGAGGGGGCTAGGGAAAGAGAGAAAGCTTGTACAGAGCCATGATGCTGAGTACGTGGACAAGCCGACCTCCCCAATGTAGTCGATGATGCTATTCACGACGCTGGCCAGTTGGAGAGCGACAGAAGTGCAACCCAGTCTAATACTAGCCTGTTCTTCGGCTCCGAGCGGATGAGCTTCCTGTGGCCGTGATGGCTGGGAACATTGACGGTCAAGCTGACAGCCAGGCTCCAGCAGCCATCCGTAAAAGATGGGAAAGGTGCCGGCGTCGGGGGGCCGCGTACGTTAAACTCCCCCGCTTGCATCTTCTCTTGAATGACTCTTCGGCTTTCAAATCTAGAGACCAAGGTCGTGCGAGACTTGAGCTCTTTCAAACCTGTGCAAGGAAGCGAGCCGGGGTTGCATAAAAGGCTACATGCGACCTGCTGCAAATGGCCGGGAAAGCATTGTTCAAGGGCCGGAAATCTTACTTTCCTCGGTATCGCATTTTTTGCTGTCTACGGCACGCCATTTCACCACCTTGGGGCATTGTTCTAAATGACAGTCGCGTACGGCAGGTCGCGGAGGCCGTCTTTCCGCCGATCGGGCGCCGGCCAAGGCGGAGGTGGTGATCCAGAGCACTCGGCACTTACCCTGAACCACGTGCACACGCCGTGATTGACGATTCCGTCCACGCCTTGTTCAATCTTGCCCCTCCTTATTGTCTCCCATTCTCTCCCAAGACGACTTGGCCACTCAGCTCGCCTTCGTCCCTGTGGCCTAGACACCCAATACCGCGGTATTCAGTCTGCGAACCGTCGCTCGCGCACGCCATGCCCCGCTCCGACGAGGCCGAGGCCTTTTTCCACGCCGTCTACGCGGCCGTGCAGGAGATTCCCTACGGAAAGGTGTCGTCTTACGGACACATTGCCATGCTCGTCGGTACCCGTAAGCCCCCTTCCTCGGACAGGGGATTCACAAACAAACAGGGGAAGAAGGAGAGAGAATCTAACACCGAGTCAAAGCCCGGCGCCCTCGTCAGGTCGGCCTCTGCATGAAGCATCTCCCCTCGGACCCGGCCGTCCGCTTCAACAGCCAAAACGTACCTTGGCAGCGCGTCATCAACTCCAAGGGCATCATCTCCCCGAGGTCCCAACCGTCGGGCGCTCAGAACCAGGCCGCCGCCCTGCGCGAAGAGGGCGTCGACGTCGCCACGAGTGCCCTGGGAGAGCTCATCGTCGACCTAGCCCGCCACGGCTGGTTCCCCAGGCTTTTGCCGTCCGAAGCCCAAGATGACCAAGACGAGCAAGGTCCTGACGAGAATTAAACGCAATCTACGACCAAACAAGTGTCGTCTCGACACATGTACGGATACAAAATGCCACAATGACTGGAACGCGAATGCCCGCTGCACGCTCTCAACTCATACTTCATACACTATATACAGCCTACACACGCCTCGCCCTACCGTCTCGCGCACAGCTCCATCACGACGCAGCCGGGCCCGACCAACAAGCCTCGCCATTCAAGTCGAGGCCAAGCAATCTTCCGCCCCATCAGGCTCGCCAGTCGCTGGCGCTTTGTGCCGTCCGCAGGGTCTCACGACACTCGTTCCACGCCAAATAACAAAACGCACGCACGCACCCAAGACTGCCCTTTCAAGTCTGCTAAGAAGCAAATAGAGTTCCGGTTCCTGTCAAGCAGTCCTCTCCAGGTGGCCCGGCCTTGTCGCGGAGGGTGCATATAAAGTGGTATTGTCCAGTTTGAGGGAGAAAAGGCTCAAGTAATGAAACCATCATCCCGCGGATCCTTGACGCCCAGACGCCCAGACTCCCAGCGGGCGCTTTGAATATCAACTTCGTCAGGGCTTTGGTTTACAGACCTCGACCCGAATTCGAAACATGCTTTCGGCCGTGGCAACATGCAGGCAACCACCCCCCTTCCACCGAACGTCCCAAGCAACAGGGCACAAACAAGCCATTCAAACACCCAAGGCCGTCTTCGAATGCGAGGCGCCATTGCGCCGTGAACCTCGCGTCGCACCCTCCAGCCCAGCTGACGTACATCGCGAGTTGGTTCCCCGAGGGCTCCGCCATGTCTTCTAGATGCCGCTCATCCTCCCCCTCTAGAAGCAGTTGAGACTGCCTTTCTTCTTCTTCCCCTTGTTGATGGCATTCATTCTTTCCTCCAGCTGCTTGCGCGCTGCCTCCGCCGCCTGTCGCTTCTTGCGCTCCTCTTCCACCGCGTGCAAGCTCCAGCGGTTGTCCTGCGGCGCCTCCATGGGTCGCTCCTTCAACTCCTTGACTTCGCCCTCGAGCTCGTGAGCGCGCTTCTTCCAGGCGTCGCAGTCGGCCTTGGATCTTTTCGACTGTCTCTCCAAGTCCGTCAGGGCTTCTTCCAACGTCTGCGTCAGCTGCCGTTCTGCGTAGAGATGCTTCTCGATCGTCCGAATGCGCGCCTCTTGATCTTCGGTGATTTGAGCAATGCTGATGCCCTCCTTGCTGGGAGTCCGACCCGATGTCGGCGACGTGGGGACGCCGCTGGTCGGGGAACCGCTCCTGGCGGCGCTGGGCAGCGGTGGTAGAGGGATGGCTGGCGGCGGCGAGGGCAGAGCGGCGTGAGACGCGCTCTTGCGGATTGTCGAGTTGGAGTTTGATCGGTTGACGTCTCCAGACCCAATGGCCTCGTGGTACTTTGCCTGTACATGGGTGTCAGCTTTATTCGCACCACCTCTCGTGGTCTTGGAGAAAGCTGGGTTCACGGGGCCTTCGACTCACCTGGAGAGAATTGTACTCGTCTCGGACAGAGTCCAATTCCGCCTGAAGTTTTGCACGCGCTGCCGTCACCTCCTCTAGCTGCACGTTGCGTTCCGTCTGAAGTGTGCTCAGGCGATTGTTGGTGATTTGCACCTCATCGAAGTTGTTTTGCAGCTGTTCCTCGAGCTCCTCGACCAGGCGGCTGTTCTTCTTATTCTTGAACTCAAGGTCGGACATTCTACCCTTGACAGCAGACAACTGATCTGCAATGGACGAGGCTGCGCCAGAGTCCTCTTCGGCAAGCATGTCGCTCAGAACCGTCTTGGCCGTCTCGAGGTCGCGCACAGTACTCTCGTTGGCATGCGTCAGTCGTGCCACTCGCTCTTGAACCTCGCCGGCTTTGCGCTGCTCGTCAGCGTCGGCCTTATGGGCTGCAACAAGAAGCTCGATCTGGTCCGTCAACGTGTCGACACTGACTCCAAGTCCCAGAGCGACAGCAACCTTTGTGGCGATTTGCATGAGCTCCTCCCTGGCCCCGGAGAGTTCAGACTCCAGTTTATGGACAGATTCGGCGTGCTCCGACATGAGGACTTCCACTTGCTCCTCGTACCCCTTTTGCTCGCGAGACTGGAGCTCGGCCAGTTCCTTGGCGTGGCCGGACTTGAGCTGCTCCAAGGCCTCGTGGTGAGCTCTTGTCGCTTCGCCATGGGAGGCAACTTTGGCTTCGAGTTCAGCCACTAGCTCCCGATACCGGGAAGCCTCCTTGGCGGCTTCACTGTGAGCCTTCGTCATCTCCTCCACCTCGCCCCGGGCAGTTGCGTGGGAGCTTTCGAGCTCGGTAACCTTGGTTGCATTGCTGCTCATGACGGCCTTGTACTCGTCGATTTCGGTGCGCAGGAAGTTGACCAGGTTGCGATGTTTCTGTTCGGCTTCCTTCGCCGCCTCGCTGCCGTCCACGCTGGCCCTGGCCTGCGAATCGACGAGATTGGCGTTCAACGTCACAACCTGCGCCTCGAGCTGTTGTACGGTATGGCGGAGTTCCATCTCCGTCGCCTGCATCAAGTTGAGAATCGTCCTGTGCTTGTTCTCCCAGCCTGTCAGTTCGGACTGAAGCTTGCCAATCTTGCCCTCGTATTTCAGCCCGGATTCCTCGTCAGCTCGAGCAGACGCCTTGTCTCTTTTCTTGCTTGTCGAAGCTTCCTCCAAAGAACCGCGCAGCTTCTCCAGCTCCGCGGCAAGCTCCTTTTCTCGAGCGGCATGTGCTTCCCGCATCTCGTGCAGCTGCATTTCGTTCTTCTCTAGCTTCTCTCGCAGAGTTGCAACAATGGACATGTCCATTGGGGTGGCTTTCAGGCTGGAGCGCTCACGTGTGAGCCCCGAAATGATGGTCATCTTAGTCTCCATCTCCTTCTTAGCCGACGCGACGTTTGCCTCGAGCTCCTGGATTCGTTCGCTGCGCGAGTGAAGCTCGTGAATCGCGGCGTTGAGATTCAGCTCAAAGTTTTGCATGACTTCGGGCTGACCCTCGAAGTTTTCCGTCGCAATGTTGCGCAGAGACGCAAAGGATCGGTGAGCGCGGTCGATGATCATGACGTTTTGGCTCGACTTGCGGCGGATGACGGGCGTCGACTGCCTCGGCGAAGTTGCCTCAACGGCCCTGGCCTTGGATACCTCCGTCTTGAGCTCTTCGACCATGTCCAGGGTCTCGTTGTGCTGCGACTCGAGCTGAGCGTACTTGGTCGCCAGCTCCTTCTCTGCCGCCTCCTTCTCCCCAGCCAATGACCGCAGCCGTTGAAGCTCTGCCTTGAGCGCGTCGTCTTGTGGCTGCTGCGTCAAATCTTCGGTTGATACCGCAGGCTTGGCCGTGGCCGTGTCGTCCTCCGACGTCGCATCCGTATCGGCTGAGGCGGAGGACTCTACGGCCGAGGACAGTTCCGAAGACAGGGACCGCGAGGCCGAGGATCGGGGTCCATCCGGCCCGCTAAGAGATTTTTGAGGGGAGGCCAGTGACCCGGCCTGGACATGCGCTTCGGAGCCGGCCGAAAGGACCGAATCTCGAACGCGGGGAGGGTGGCGAGCCTCGTCCGCGGCGTCCTGCTGAAGATCTGCAAGGCTCCGCATCGCCTCCTCGTACTTGGCATGCAGCTCATGAAGGTCATTCATGGTCGTCTCGTGCTCGACCCGAAGGCCGATGAGCTCCTGAGTAACGCTCTCCAGCTTGTCCGCGACCAACCTCGACTGGGCGGGGCTCTGCGCGGCATCGTCGCCATCGACTTGGCCGCCAGGGGCGGCTCTGTCGTTGGCCAGACTATCCCCGTCGGTGGCCTCCCCAATGGTCAAGCTGGACTTGGCCTCGGCGCCATCGCCTCCGCGTTCATCGTCCTCGGGAATCGGGCTACCCACTTGACCCTGGTGGCTGCCGTGCGACTGATCTTGCAGGGGGGGGTCGACCTGTCGAGTAGCGAGCGAGAAACCGTCTGTGCTGCCTAGCTTTGGCTTTCCTGCGCCGTCGACATGGTCAAGCTCATGAAGAAGCGCATCGAGCTTCCCCAGGCTTCGTTGGCGCTCAATCACTTGCTCCAGTCGATCGATTTCGCGTTGCATGAGCTCTGCATCCTGGTCTGCCTCGGCCAAGCGCTCCTCCAGGGTGGAAATGTAGTCCTCACATGAGGCCTCGCTTTCGCGTACTCGGGCAATCTCTTTCCGGAGCTCCATGATGATTGTCGCGTTCTTCTCCTCCCCACTGGTGTGCCCGTCCAGCTTGGCCTCGAGGTCGTGAAGGTAGTTTTCGGTGCTTGCCTCGCGGTCCATGAGTTTCTGCAGGCGAGACTGGAGCTGATTGTTGATGGTCTCGACATAGGCGCATTTTGTCTCCTTCTCGAGTAGACTCGTCTCCGTGTTTGAAAGCGTGGCACGCGTGTTGGACAGGGATTGCTCCAGAGACTGAATCGTCTTTTCGTACTCCAGAACAACCTGCTCCACGGCTTGAGCAAAGTAATTGGAGCGGTTGAGACGGTCCGTGGCACTGTCGCCGTGGAAATCTCCAGATTTGCCGCCAGTCTCTTCCGACTCGTGTTCCCTGGCCTTAGCCATTTCCGTGATGAGCATGGCGTGGCGCTGGCTCAGGGCATTATAGTTTTCTTGCACGTCAAGGAGTTGGTTCTGCAGCTCGACCTCGCGCTCATTCTGTCGGTCCGATCGGTCGTTCGTGGCTCCAGATACGCGGCGAGGACTGCTGCCGCCGCCAACAGAGGCGCTTCGTATTTGTTCGCGGAGAAAGGAGACCTCGGCTCGCAGTCGATCGATGACGGCCTGCTTGTCGCCTTCTTCTACTTGCTGGATGCGTGGCTTGGACTGGATTGCGCGGGCCCGTTGCGCATACTGGACCGTGTTGAGCGTCTCGCTCAAGTGAAACTCGGCGGGGGTGACACAGGCAATCATGTAGGTGATGGCGTTGCCTCCGAGAGAATCCTGGAGAAGTCGGGTGAGCTTGGAGTCACGATACGAGACATGCGACCCAGGCTGCCGTGACGAAAGCTGGCTGATGACCTTGCCCAACGAGGCCAGGCCGGCGTTGATGGATATTCCCTCCTTGGCACGCTCGCCCTGGGCACCGGTGTTTTTGAGCCGCTCGCTGCCCGCCAGGTCGACAAAGTGCAGCTTGCTGTCCGTGGTCACAGACACGTCCTGGCCCGTCATTGTTTCCCAGGGCACCGAGAAGCGCTTCTCGGCGCTGTTTGACGTATGAAGCTGGCTCCTGCGCTGGACCAGGTTGAGGGAGAAGACGGCGTGGGAGCGAGATGACTTGGCGTTGATCGCGGTGGCGTCAGTCTGCCGGATGGTGGAACCGAAATTGAGGGCGTTCATCAAGTCGTCTACCGAGTCGATGTCGACCTGGTGCAGGCCGGTGAGGATAATGTTTCCCTTGGCGTCCTCACGTATCGCGACATTACCACGCTCGTAAGCCACCGAGGTATCGGGAACGAGGAGGTCGCGCAGCTGCTCGTTATAGATTTCGACGTAGGTAGCCTTTAAGGACCAATTGCGGTCGCCCAGCATATTCTGATGGCCGTATCCACGTGGCGCGCGGAGCTGAGACATGGAAACTGATGCTCTGTTAGGGTTTGTTCCGCTGCGAGACATGTTGAGCTTGTCGAAGAGGGCAGCGGCGGCTCGAGGGATGACGCCTGCGAGTGTTAGCGCCCGAGCAAGGGAGCATGCCCCCGGAGGGGACAGGCAAAGGGGTGCATACCCATCATTTCGGCATCCTGCTGCTCGCTGGGCCCCGACGTGCCCATGGTATACGACTTGCCGGCGCCCGACTGGCCATAGGCGAGGAGAGAGACATTGTAGCCCTGGGTGAAGGCACTGACAGAGTCGGCGAGGTAGTCCCAGATACCATTCTGCATGACATCGGGGCTGAAAACGCGGTCGAAGACGAAGAGCTTTCGACCCTGGGGAGACTCGATGGACAGGCTCGTGTTGGACATGGTCTGGACCATGGAGCGTTGGAATCGCTGGGGGATCAGGTCGTAGCCGGGGTCGGAGGGGTTGAGGGGCGGGCGTATGCGGACAGCTGGACGGAGCAAGCAGTTAGTCGAGCGTTGAGGAGAGAGGGCAAATGGTGGCGCGTACCAACTTTGACAGCGGTGCGACTGTCGTCGTCTGAAGCGCGACTGCCGCTGCCGGGCTTGCTGCTGATGCTCATCCTGCTGGGACACCTGGGCGGAGGTCTGGCGATGGCGCTCAGGGGCCGTTGAGGCAGGTGTATTGGGGAGGCCGGCGGCGAGTGAGCCATGGCCGAAAGATGAGGCGGCCAAGGCCAAGGCGGGTGAGGTTGTCGAGGCGAAGGGGGTTGGGACGCCCAAATTGCGAGCCGCCTCGGAGGCCGGGAAAGCCTGATGGCACGACGGAGATTATGCTGGCGAGATTGGGTAGCAGGCGAGTAGGCGATGGGGGCTTGGGGATGCTGCGTCGTGCCGCTACGGTGGCGCCTGGGTTTGGTCAAAAATGTCTCGCGCACTTGCCCGGCGGGAGAAAAGAATCTTTGTTCCAAGGGCGACAAGGGTGAGCGAGGCTGGAGATGAGCAGGCGAGTAATCAAACAAGAGGCGCCTAGCCCAGGGTCCCGGTCACCGTCTGGCAAGCCTGCGCCTGCGGCCAACAAGGACAAGTCGGCGCGGCCACCAAATGAAGAGGCCTAGGCAATGGAATCCTCATGGAAGAAGATGGCCAAGAAGAAGAAAAAGGAATGGGGGTGTGCGTGGACGAAAGATAATGGGCGGCGAGGGGGACGTAGGGAAAGGGGGAGGAAATGAAGGCGGGCACGGATTGGACTCTGATGGTTCCTGTCGTGGCGTGTAGTCATCAAAGGTCTAGCAGGGCTTTCCAGTGCACCCCAGCGGCTACTTAGGTGGGCATGGTGGGCAAGGAGCTCCCACAGCGGCCTACTAATACTGGCTGCCAGCTATCCGTACAGCAGCCCCCTTTGCCCCTCTCCCGAAAGCAACGAAGAAAAAAGCAACGAAGGGAGAAAGCTGCAAACAAAAAAGGAAGAGGAAAGGGAAAAAAGAAAGGCAGACGCCCGTAAGTGCCCGCAGCTGAAGGGGCGAGCGAGGACGGAGAAGAGCGGGCGCTGGCAAGCAAGTCACAGAGGAGCAGAATAAGAAAGAGAGACGGTTGACCCATCCAACACCGAAGATGCAGATTAAGACACCAAGACACCTCGCCCAAGATGTATTACACGCATGTTTTGAATGAATGCAAGCGACCGGCTCCCCTACACCCTCACTTGGCAGAATGAAGACGCACTCGCGCCGGGACTGGCGAGCCGGGTCAGCGCCATGGTGATGGAGCGCTAGGGCCTCGTCAGGCTAAATCCACGTCCCGCGCGGGAAGCCAGGTGGCCCTGCTGTCACCAAGTTTTGAGGAGGGTGGGTATCATTCATCATCACTCGGGAGTGGTGGTGCAGATGCATGCACCGACCTTGATCAATCAACATGCAAAAGGGGCAACTGCCAACTCTTTCCTGCATGTCCAATGCCTGTCAAGCGTGTGTGCAGTCTGTTGCCCAGGAAATTGTCGTCATCTGCTTCTTTGGCCTCTGGATATAGGGTACAGTGCCCTGTCAACTGTTCAGCTTGTGCCCGCTGCTTGGCCCATTGCTTACCTACCTTAGGCCTTAGGTATGTACTTAGGTAGGTAGGTACTGTACCAACTAAGTTAGTGGTAAAAGGACTCACCAGGGTGGGTATGTCAATGTGTACAGTATGCACCAGGTAGGTAAACAACAGCACCCTTGCCGTAATGCGTTCGTGGCGCGCTGATGAGCAAGCAGCATCTGCCAATCAACAGGACAAGCCTGCGAGGTGTTCATGGCCGTGGCGTTGGCTTGGACCCCCCCCCGGGAGTGGGAGCCAGCTGAGCTGTGCCTCTCACAGTGTGTCTCGCCAGCCAATGACGACACGCTGCCTGCCTTCTGTACATACTGGTACTGCGTACCGTTACGTCCGCTCGGTACGGAGCCCGAGCCAAGTTGCTCTGGGCATCGCGTGGCAGCCACCTGTCTCACCGGAAAGAAGCGTGGGGAAGACGGGCCTCGCAAGCCACTCCAGCAAAGGAGCCGGATTGCCCGTTGACGGATCCTTAGAGCACGAGGGCAGGGAACCCCTGGCCTACGAGTGCGATACACTCCGGTAAGAAGAGACCTTTCAAGAAGCAAAATCTGAATCAAAAGCTGCTGGCACTCCCTGCTGACTGTGCATGCCTGGTGGGCTAGAACTGTAGTAACCTTGTCCTTCATCCTCGCCCTGTGACCTGCGATACGTCGCGGTAGCCATCCCATGTGCCGCCCTCTGGCCGCCCCTCCCTGCGTCGATCTAACGCGGCCGTCTCAAGTGGTCGAAATGCTTGCCACCCATGTCACCCCTAGTCCAGGCCACCTCCGCCCAGCAGACTGCAAAGTGGCTTCATCTTCATCTTGTCACGCACACACAAACCTCTCTGCCCCCGGTCGCCTTCCACGAAGTGGTGGGCATCAGTCTTTCCGGCGCGTCCACTTGCTACTTCGGCATAGACAATGCAAACCTTGTTTGTCTCCAGAATCAAGGTGCATGGTGCAGTTCCGGGTTCCTCGAGCCGCTAGCTTAGGTAAGCCAGCGATTCCTGGTTCCCGGAACTCGCCCCCAAGCGAGTGCCCCATCTCACGTGATTCCTGCATTCGCTCGTCCGACACCAAGTATTCGTAGACGCGCCTCGTCTGAAGCTCGCGTCGTCACCACCGACCGAAGTGACTTGCCGACGACCCCATCAGCACAACACAGCCTGCTCGCAAGGGGCAGCTCCGTCACCGAGTTCCCATGTCGCTCAATGTCATCGACCTTGTCTCCTCCAGCCCGTCTCCTCTCTCGCACCACCTCAAGCGTGCAGCCGAGGCAAGCAACTCGAGCCATCATGCAGAGCCAACGGCCCAGGCACTTCTCAGCGCCGACTCCGACCTGCTCTCTCTTTCCGACCAAGACTTTGACGAACTTCTCTTCGACTTGGGCGAGTCCTGCAGAAAACGACGGAGAACGAGCCCCGCGTCGCGGCCCGTGACTGTGGCCCCGAGTCTCGCATCTCGACCACCGCTGGTGCTTAGTCGCAATGCCCCGCTTCGCCCAAGGGCCCCTGACCCCATTGAGGTCTCCAGCTCGATGGAGCTGGCGTCGCCCAAGGACCGACCGCACGCTGCTTCCGAGGACATGGTTGCTGCGCCCTCCAGAGTCGCAGCAGCGTACGTTGACTCCGACCCTTTTGCCAGCTCGCCCGATCCGGCCCGTCACAAAAACAGTCGCATGGGACCGCCTGTCCGACGCGCCGTGTCTCTCGACCCCTTCGTCGGCTCCAGCTCCCCGATGGGCGTCATCAGCTTGTCACCCAGGCGTTTCCCAGCCCGGAAACAGGTCTCGTCCATCGCCGACTCGTCTCCCGCCGCGCAGTGTCTGTCCGAACTCGACCATGACCAGCGTCATCGTGCGGCATCAACGTCCTCCCGACTTGCGAGAAGAAGCAAACAGCCTGATGTAATCAGCATCGACTCAAGCTCATCAGACGGTACCAACGACAGCGACTTCCCCGACATCCGTGACATGGACATCCCCCGCCACCCCTTCAGGCCCCGCTCCCCTCTCCGCCGATCTCGAAGCGACATTACTAGCGCAGCCATTCGCTCGAACCGCGATCCCTCCCGGCTCGACGGTAAGCACACTGCCGACCAGAAACAGAAGCGCGCGACCGAAAGCGCGGCCGGAAAGGAGCGAAAGCGTTACGAGCGGGAGCAAGCCAAGGAAGCCAGGGCTAGAGAAAAGGAACACGCTGCTGCGTTGGCCGAAGCAAACAAGCTCCGCACGGATAAGAAGGTGTCCACCCCCGAAATGATTGTCAATCTTGCCTCAAGCCTTGGCTTTGAGCACACGGAGCAAGTGCAGACACTCCTCTCGGAGCTGGGGGTCGACCACGTGACGTGGGAGAGTCCGGTCCACGGCATCGTCAAGTGGCGACGAAAAGTCACATGTCACTTCGACCTCGACTTGGGTCGCTGGGAACCCATTCCCCCGCACATCCAAGAGGAAAAGCATGTCCTGGCGATTTTCACCGCCGAGGAATTTGTCGGCTCAGTCTTAAACAATGAATTAGAGGCCCATGCTCGCAAGGTCAGGGAGCACTTTTCCGGTCATCAAGTCATCTATATCCTACAGGGCATCACACCGTGGATGCGCAAGAACCGCAAAGTTCGCAACCGCCAATTCGCCTCTGGCGTTCGCGTAAATCAAGCGCCCAAACCGATCCAAGGCCGTCAACGGCGACGCGATGCGACCGAGTACATCCCGGAGGACCAGGTTGAGGACGCCATGCTTCGTCTGCAGATGGGGCATGGTGTTTTTATCCATCATACCGCGACCTCAATAGAGACGGCTAAGTGGGTGGTTACGTTCACGCAGTACATCTCGACAATACCATACAGGAAGCAAAAGGACCACGCAACGTCATCGGTTGGCTTCTGCATGGAAAGCGGGCAGGTCAGGACAGGCGATGGGCCCAAGGATACATATGTCAGAATGCTCCAAGAGATTGTGAGGATCACGGCCCCGATCGCCTACGGTGTGGCCAACGAGTTTGCCAGCTTGAGCCAGCTGGTGCGGGGTCTAGAGAACGGCGGTCCCGAGAGGCTCGAAAGTGTCAAAAAGAGCGCAAACAAGGACGGTCAGCTTTCGGACCGTGTCATCGGGCAGGCCGTCAGCCGCAGGTTGTACAAGGTCTTCACCGGATGTGATGAACTGAGCACAGATATTTGACGATAAAGGCGTCTGTCCGGTGATGGTAGGGGTGAATGACGGCATGGTTGAACCGAACTATTGGAGAACGAACTCAACAAGAATTGATATCTGTGACAAATTGTGGTGTCAAGTTGATCACTGGGTGCCACGCAAGTTAGCATCCACGTTTTGAACAGAGTACAAAACAGTTGATAAGGGACAACGGGGAGATGTCAGATAGCGGTTGAACATTATTTCCACATGATAGTTCGGAACAGGTCTGTGAAAAGTGTTTTCTCATCACATTGAGATGTAGAGCTAGAAGCAGAGGGTCCAGACTCACCATGTCTGTCGAAAGCCCCGATGGCCATTCAGCTGCCATTGGTTCGAGGCTTCGGCTCCGAAGAAAAAAAGCGTTCAATCGTTCGCTGGCTATCGTCAAAGGGTGCACTACCGATGCCGCCGCGCGTCTTCTTCAGGTTGTCGAGGTGCGACACGCAGTTGACGCGCTCGATGCGCAGGTGCCACAAGGTAAGACGCACGTCACAATGCGACGAGGCAGACCCAGAGGGTGCTGACGGCCTCTTGGACATGTAGACCTCGAGATAGCCTGTATTTGACCAGGAGAGGAACTCAGAGTTAGGGCTGTCCGCGGCCAAGCCGTTGCGCTCGGGCCCCGGTGGGAAGGCCGTGTTGGTAGAGAGATTTTCACACAGAAGCGATGCGAGGGCACGGAGAAGGATGCCGTGAGCCACGACTGCGCACTTTGTGTCGGTCTTGGTCCCGGCCTCGTCGTGTAACAGCGGCAACATGTGCTCGTCCCAAAAGCGACATACGCGCTCCCTTACGCACTGCGCCGTCTCGGCGTCAGGACAATTGGGTTTCCCGTGCCGAAAACTGACGCCTTCCAAGCTCCCAAAATCCTTTTCTCGTAGCTCCGGGACAAGGGTGACGGTCAGGCCGGTAGCCCCGTGCACCTGGTTCTGTGCATCGCAAACAGCCCCTGCCGTCTTGGCCGCCCGCTGAAGCGGAGACGACAAGATGTGCGTGATAGCACAGGATTGCGCGAGGCTAGAGGCCAGACGACGGGTCTGGAGAGCTCCATGGGCTGTCAGGCCAGAGTCGCGAGAGCCGGCGTAGACGCCGGCGGCGTTGTCCACGCTCTCGCCGTGGCGAATGAGAAAGAGACGCATTGTGCGTGTCAGATAGGTAAGGAAGGATAGGGACAATGGGCAAAGGTGTTTCACGGAGGACGCGGTGGTGGCAGAGCAGCCACCGTCGCTGCGCGCATCCTGAATCGGGCAGAGGACAAAGAAGGAAATTCTTGTGCTTGGAGCAAAAAGTCTGCCGAAATTGCCCTTGGCTTTGTAGCTGCTTGGTGAGCTGCCTAAATGCATATTGCATAAGGCGGTGCAAGGACTGACCGAGGTGTAGCTCCGGTACTCGGCCCGTAACTACAGTACCTCGGTCCGTGTCCGCCGAAGGATAACGCCCGGGTTCTTATGCGCCGCGAATGATGGCCAACTTTGTCGTCGCCCTGTCCCCTGTCTACGCTTGCTCAGTCGCTCTCGGGGAATTCTTTCTAGATGGTGTCATTCCTGGGCTTCCACAAGGAAGCTCTCACTTACTGTCACCTGCTTTGAGGGTCCTGGCGTCCCGGCGCTCTGTTCAATGCCCTTCGAGAAATTCAGAATAATCCCACGTTGGGCAGCCAGCATGAGGTGATTTCATCTCCAAGTACTGATGGCGCTCGTGTCGTTGTCTACTATAGATGGCCCAACGATGCACGCATGTTGGTAGGCAAACCCGTTGCAATAAAGACTTCCAGAGCTCTACTACAAACTCAGACAGTTTGCAGCAGATTGCCTCTCCTCTTACTACGACTACTGGCCAAGCTCCCCACAAGGCCATTCCCGTCGCCGAAATAACAACCTTAATTTCATGTACACTTATCGACCGTTCGTGCTGAACATTGATGACCTCACCGGGAAGGTCCTCCAAAGTTACTAAACGTGAATAATTGGGCATTTGACGGTAACATATCGCCAGCCTCATGACGAACATCGATGGGAGGATTAGGCATATGCTCCGGGCGCCATCACCTCGGCGTCATGTTTGGACCCACACTCACCAGCAGTTGGACGCCCCAAAGCGTCCTATCGTATCGGCCGGTGGGAACGTAAGGGGCAACTAGTGATTGTGGCTCATGTGGTGGCAGGACTCGCTTCACTTTCCCCGGGAGCCATTTGTGGTGCTGTATCTGGGCTTGCGTAATGCACTCCACACGCAAGCCAAGATTGAGGCGCGAACGCCTCGGTTCTTCGGTATAATTCCAAGCCGGACTCCAGGCGCGTACTAGTAATGCGGGCCACGCGAGATGGCCACTAGTCCAATAAGTGCAGATGCACGTCGGCCGCCGATATTATGCCGTGTAGCTTCTCCCCCTCTCGACAGGTGCCAAGTCGTCTTCGCGGTTGACGTGTAATGAATTGCTTCAAAGTGTGATTACTCTACTAGCTGGTCGTTGCTCACACCAAAGAGCATCGGCGCGGTCAAGACAAGTCAAAGGCTCAAGGATCAGCGTACCAAAGTCCTGCCCGTCATGAGAGCCGAAAAGAAAGGAAACCAGGAAGCTTCTAGGTGTGTTTCTATTTGGATCCTGTTACGGACACGAGTAAGGGAATACCGTGCATGCGTCTGATTACGTATGTGCATTCAATCCAACTTCTACTTAGGGTGTTGCTCGCGCCCGCCGGCGCGGAGGCGCAGCCAAGGGTGCGAACAGGCACGATAGGGGGGTTCAAACGATGTATGTATGTATGACTTGTCTGTCTTGTTGCTAGCTAGGGGAAAGGGCTTTTGGGCGCCCCTTGTGTCTTTGCCTTTATAGCTACCCTTTCCCTAATTGGTTGTAAGCCCCTGGGCTCTATAGCTAGCTAGGACTGCTAATAGGGGCCTAGGCCCTTATTAGCCTCGCCATGGCCCTAGAGGCTGCATGCGAGTAATGAAAAAAAAAATTAAAAAAATTAGGTGCCCAAGAGGCCACGGTGACTTACACACTTAGGGGGCCGGGGCCCCTCGCACTAATATGGGTCTGCTGTGATCTCTTACGATTCCACTCGGAGCCCGCTTGGAGTGCTTGACAGTTGACACGTGACTGGGCCTCGAGCGTAGACTGTGTAGACCGCGGCCCTATTCTTACGGTCATCCCAACTTGCTGAGAAATACAGCGACTAATTCGTGCCTGAACCCAGCTCGAGCGATTCGAGTATCATATGCGTACCTACTACCTAGGCGATGCAGCACTGCACTCGAGAGGGCGTACTTTGTGCGTTGGCGTCCATCCCCTTTCAATGTTCTCAGTCTACGCCCTGCGTCAAACAATGGCAAGCGCTTCTGATCTGCTCGCATAAGTCTTTGACAAGGCAGTCTGTTGATGGAGTTTCCATAATGAGGGCCTAGGAACAGCCGTGGTATTCTCATACATGCTCTTGTTCCTTTTTTGGTACTGCATAGTCGTTCACTCATTTGTTTCAGCCCTCTTGACAGATACGACGAGTAAAAGGCCCTGGTGGTTTTGGCATGAGCCTCACACATCGGCATCCTGGCGTGGTGTTGGTATCTGATCTCCAGTTTACGTCTGGCTGACTGACTGCTACCTGTCCATGTAATCTCATGATGGGATGAATGAGAGCACCCGAGGCCGAGACTGACACATGCACAGACAAGGAGTGGGCGCAGAGCACACAGGCCGGCCCCGGTGGGATAAGCCCGCCTTTACGGTGCACACCGAGCTCGGGAGTAAGGGGTCGCAGGCCGGGTTGAACATCTGCCGGCTTATTAAGGTTGATTTCAGGCCACGGTTCATGCAGACCAAATGGATACACACTTGGCAAGGTGTCGTCATGCGCAGCATCGGGTGCCCACTGCTTACACGGCGCTCATCCCGTGTTGCCCATGTCGCATAGGAACTGCGCCTAACATATAAGCCGTGACCAGCTCCTCTCTTGGACACATCACCAGAGTCATCACTCAACCGTCATTCACTCATCCATCCACTCTCTCACCCCATCTCCCTCACTCACTCATTCACACATTCATTTCTAACAATATTGCCTGACCTTTCCGCCGTCATGTTGACCACTAAGGTGTTGCTGCTGGCGCTCATGTCGGCTACGTCCGGATCAGCTGCGGCTACTCAAGACCGCAGGGCGCCACAAGTCGAAGCTGGAGCGCCAATTGAATCGTCGACTAGTGCGTCAGAGCAAGAGACGGCAGGCGGAGACGTTGCGACATGCGGCGGCAGCAGCACTTACTCACAGAAAAAAGGCGACTTCAACATCACAGCTTTCCAACTGTACCCGGAGCAGGCCGATCACGATCCCAGGACATGCCGCACATACTTTAGGTTAGCCCCTCATCTCTACAGCCGACGACAGACATGGCTAACACATCTCGAAGCGTGTTGTACAACGCCTCGGTTGCAGTGTGGGACTCAAAAACACAGAGCCTTCTCGAACCCATCACCGTCGAAAACATGACTGGCAACAAGGCCCTCCACGCCAGTGGTGTTCAGGTCAACCCGCAAGACGACACGCTGGCCTTCATGCTCAACGCAGGTGCTGCCTTTGACACCCAGGGCCAAAACGTCACTGGCGATAACAATCTTGTTGTCTGGGACTTGAAAGCAAATAAAATGAAGTTCACAATTAACCTTTCGGACCATGCGGACAAGGACCACAGAGGTTTTCAAGATATGGAACATGATAAAGATGGAAACATCTTCGTCATGTCTACATTCGGGGGCAGTCTGTTCCGCGTCAACGCCAATGGTACAGCGGTTGAGAAGTGGTGGCTTAGCGACAAGAACTCTTCCACGGCCGGTCTTACTGGACTAGCCAGGCTCGGCGAAGACAGCCTTATTGCCGCCGACCAGAGTGAGGGGCAACTCTTTCGCTACAGCATGAACGAGGATGGCAAAGATAAGCGAACGCCGGTCGAGCTTAAGCCCACAGCAAACCTGACCTCGTCAATGGACGGCGTCTACTTCCCTCCCAAGCACAATCAAACGTGCCTCCTCGTGTCAGATAACGAGAAGGGAACGCTCGTTCTTCACTCAGATGACAAATGGAAAATCGCCCAGCTCCGCGGTATCATTCCTAACAAATTCAGCAGCCAGCAGGGATTCACTGTCGCCACGGTCCAGATCGTTCACCGGATATTTGCCGTTATTGAGTGGTTCCTGGATGGTGGCGAGGATGATCAGAACAACGCCCTTCCCGGAAACAGGACTGAGTTCCCCATGGTTGACATTACCGACGACGTTGACAAACTCTGTCAAGGCAAAAAGCCAGAGGCTTAACTTGTTTTTGGAGTACAGCTAGGAGTCTCACATACCAAAGACCATCTGCGTACAGAATATTGTCAAGAAAGCGTTTCATGCACAAGTGCAAATTTCACACAGGCGAAAATGACGTCCGCCCCGATACTGGGTGCGGTTTTGTGACCGGCTGCATCTCGATTGGTGGCCGTCCAGCGCGCCGGTTCCTGCGAGCGTGAAATCCAAGGAATCCGCGAACCTATTGGCTCCCCAGGACCACGATAGTTTTACTTAGGAGGGCGGCTCGGCTTCATATGGCACACTTTATACGCACTTATATATGACCTTGTCTTATTGCTCGGCATCTCATAGAATGCGTGAAATGCGCCGGATTGCACATGCGGCATACGTCCCTTTAGAGGCCCGAAGGCTGCAACGAGATATCTATCAGAGGTCTTGGCCACTTATAGGCAGTAGCCGACCTGTATATTTGATTGCCATCCAATCTAGCAACAGTAGAAATCCTTTGATCTTGACTACTCATATAGCTGTACTGTTAAGGAGAGTGGGCATAAGAGGCCACAGTCATGCCCAGTGGACCCAATAGTCATGCACAAGGAAGCCTGCCTAACCAACATAACTCCCCTAGCCCAAGGACATTATATAGGCCTGACTTAGGTATAGGAATATCTCAATGCCCTCTTTTAGCTAGCTATATATAGTTACTATACCTATATAAGCCCCTCCCTTATCCTAATAGATAGACGATAATATATATTACTAAATTTACCTTTCTATACCCCTATTTCTTTTACTATACTTTTAAGCCCTTGCTTAAGAGTTATAAGCCGGGCCTATATAGCTAGATTATCTTTTGCCCGCTAATATTACCTTTAAAGCTATTTATAAGCTATTAACGCTATTATAACGCTTAAATCGTAGTATTAAGGTAAGGAACCTAGCTATACTAAGGGGTACTACTAGAAATATACGAATTATACGAATTATATATCCTTTAAAGAAAGATATTACTTATTAAGCTAGAACCCTTAATTTTCCTAAGATAACGTTAAAGGAAGTAAGAGGGGATAATTATATTATAAGACTAAGGGAAAGCCTTAATTAGACCTTATAAATTAAGGGGATAAAATTATAAGCCTAGACTTATAAGATTTAGGAATATACTAACCTAAACGGTATAAAGTAGCTTAAATAGCCCTAATAGCTAGACTAAGAGTGATTTATTATTAATCTTAGAGGAAGACCTTCTTAATAAGAAGATAAAACTAAGGATATATTCTTTATAAGGCGAATAGGCTATAATAAATAGTACTAAGATATTAAGGACTCCTTTTATAACCTTAAGAGAAGGTTCTAGCTATAATTCGATCGCTATAAGGTCTAATAAAAAGCCCTAATTATACTTAAAGAATTAATTAAGAAAATAATTAGTAAAGGGCTTTAAGGGGCAACCTTAATATATAATAGCTTAAGAGAGAAAATTAAGGAATTAAAAAGGTAAGCCCTACCCTTAGGGGTAAAGGAGAAAAAGCTAATTTATAAGAGATATATAACCTCTATTAATAAAAGAGGCATATAAAACTAAAAAGCGTAGGTAGAATAGCTCGATTAAATTATTATAGATTTATAAGACCTTAAGGTTAATATACTTAATAATATAAAAATTAGATAGGATTTTCTTATAGCGGTAGATAAGTAAGACCTATATTAGTCTATAATAATAAGGGCTCTTAACCTTTATAATAAAATATATAGTAAAGATTAACTTCCTTTAAGGAACTTAGTCGCTAACTTTAAATAAGAATATACTTATAAAAAGAAGTTATAACTACTTATAAAAAGGGGAAGCGCTAGTAAAATCTCTAGGAAAATAGATACCTAAGCTAAATATATTAGCTATAAGTAGTATATTAATAGCTTAATAAACTAATAGAAAGATTACTACTTACTATAGGTAATATATAATAAGAAGCCCCTATTAAGCTAGAGATATAGTAATTTAGCTAAATAGAATATCGAAAAACGGCTAAAGGACTATTTAAACGAGAAAATAAAATACTTAGCCTAGACCCTTAATTTATACCTTAAAGGAAGAGAACTAATAGATACTATTATTAGTAATAATAAGCTAGGAAAGACTATTAATACGGTTACTTTATCTAAGGTAAATATAGCTACTAAGGGAACGCTATTACTTACTAATAAATTAATCTATAACTTAAGGGCTAATATTAACCTTTTTAATAACCTAGGATAGTTTTAAGAAGGAACCTTTAAGTAGGATTTTAATAATAAAGTCTAGGTTAAAGACTAAGCTTTTAAGGTATAAGGAATAAGAATAGTAGTTATCCCTATAATTAATAGTAAAAAGATAACTTTACTAGATACTTACTTTATCTTAGAAATACTAATAAGTATCTTCTTAGCTATAACGACCGGTATTATTCCTAAGGGATAAACCTATTAAGGGGTTTATATTAGTAGATATAATAGGGCGTGGTCTAAGCAATAATATATATATTACGTTAGTAATAAGTTAGAGGTTATAGACCGTCGACTATAACTAAGTAATTAGAATTAAAGATAGAATTATAATAAAGATCTATATTAAAAGCTAGAGAGCTATCTATTTAAAGGAGTAAAAGTAGGTAGCTATATATACCTATAGAGGCTATCCTTAGATTATAGTCCTAGCCGTAATCCCCTTTATAGCTTACTATAGCTTACTTATAAGCTATACTCTTAAGTAGTAACCTATCTATATAAGGCTTACTTAGCTTATATACGCTCTAGGTAAGCTAAGCTTAAGTAACTTCTTATCCTAACTATTATTCTAAGCTACATTATTATATAAACGTAGCTAGCTCTCTTATAGCCCGCTAACTAGCTATAATATAATATCTCCCTTCCTTTTAGTCTTATTTATAAGACCTACTACTACCTTAGCCGCTATATATAAATATACCCTTATCGCGTATATATATATTCCCCGTTCGTCCTTTCTATCCCTTAGGATATACTACTAATAGTATATCTAGTCGCGTATTAAAGGATCGTTCTTATAAGACCCTTAAGCGTATTTATTTAGCTAAGTCTATTAATCGTCTTAGTTTTAATATTATATTATATTCTTTTTATTTATCGCGCGGCTTCTACTATAAAATACTAGAGAAATCTTCTAAGTATACTAAATATATATAGTAGGGTCGTTCCTACGATACGTTAAGTATAGCGATTAGCTCCTATAGGTAACTTTATTATCCTACTTATTATTTATAGCTAATATGTTTCTTAGTATCCTAAATAAATCTAGAGTCCGATCGATTAAATAAAGAAGAAGAAATTACTAAGGAGCGAATATTAAAAGCTTAAGCTAACCTAAATAAAGCCTTAGCTCGTTTAGCGCGGCTTCGCTATTAAAAGCGCTAGCTAAAAACAAAGGGTACTAAGATAGTCCGTTAGGGCCTTTATTCCTTAGATAACCTTAACGAGGCTAAGCGCTAAGAATCTAAAGCGGTAGTCGATATTTAGTCTATAGGTAGATTTAATATAATTAATTAAAATGCTATTAGTTTATTAGGTAATTTTAAGATACCTAAGGTAGATTTTACTAGTAGAACTATTAAAGTAAAGAACTATAGTAAGTTAAGTACTTAAGTAGTTCTTAGGTATTTTCTTTTAGTTTATATCCCTTTTACTTAAAAAGGTATTCCTATTACTAACCTTATTTTCTTATATTTAGTATTTATTTAGCTTTATATTCTTAATTATTATTAAATTTAATTTTATCCTATAGTTTAGCGTTTTATAGTACTAGTTCTAATAATAAGATATAAAATATTATATATATCTATATTATTAATAGTAGCGAAAGTTTATAGTTAACTTTTAAAATAGCTTTCTTAACTTTAAACGGTCTAAGTTTCTTAAAATCTAATTTATTACTTAGTCGTTTTATTTTAATATTTCGTTATATAAGGTAGACTATATCTCCCTCTTAAAAGATTAGTCCCTATAATCTTTTCCGATTATAATAAGTAGATATTCGTTCTCTAATAAATTAAAGTTCTTATTATATTTCTTTATATAATTTTTATAGCTAATTTACTTATAGTATCGCTCGTTCTACTTATAGTCCTTATTAAGTAACCTTAAATACTTCTAGGTTATATCTATAATTAGTATATACTAGTAAGAGCTTAGTTATTTCTATAACTAAGCTATTATAAGCTAGTTACGCTATTAGTAGCTATTTAACTTAATCGTTTTATTCGTAGCTAATATAGTATTATAAATATTATTTAAGTATTTAGTTAAGTCGTTTTATTTATCCATTTATTTATAAGTAATAAGCTATACTAAGCTTATATTTCGTCCTTAATTATACTATAAGAGCTTACTAAAACTTAGCTATAAATATATTTCCTTTATTAAAGATAATCTTATTCGGTAGTTTATAACTACTAATAATAGTTCGTAGGAATATATATACTAGCTCTTCTATATTACTTACTTCTTTATATAGTAAGAAGTACCTATACTTTATTAGTCTATTAGTAATAACGAATATACTATTATACTTAACGTTAGTTATAGGTTCTTTTAATAGTAATTATCGCGAAGCGTGGCCTGATTTTATAGTTCTCGGAGATATCCCTTAGCACGAGGGACCTAGGAAGCTAAAAAACAGGTTTTAAGGAAGGAGCTAAAAGGAGGTGCAGAGAGGAGGGTAGGGGTAAGAGGGGAAGCAGAAGTAGCGATAGCTTCCTATAGAGGTAGCGAGAGATAAGACGGATATGCCGGCAACGGCTAGAAAGGAGGGGAAAAAACTAGTAAAAAGCTCGGTAGTCGAAAGGATATTAGTAGCTTCTTTAAGTAGGATCTTCTTTATTAATTAAGATGCTAGATAGGTATAAAGAGGGGCGTTAGATAGAGGAAAGAAGGATAATTAAGGAAATATAATAATTACTCCCTTGCCGTAATTGCTGCTCCCGTAAGAATTAAATCTCTCTACCTTGCCT